GAGAAATGTAGGCATTTTCCTTCCTTTTATTATTATTATTTTTTCAAATCTGGAATCAGCCGTCACTAATCCTTCCTGCCCTCCCCTGGTCCCAGAGTTTCTGACTTCTCCCTTGAGACATTTGGAAACTTTTTGAGCCAGTGGAGAATCAACTTAGAGGCTTTTTTACTTTTAGACCAATGGGAATATTGTGTGTCATGGATAGAAAGATTTGAGTAATACAATTATCACATTGAGTCTATATAACAAGGCTATTTCCATGTCTTGGCATACAGCCCGAGTTAACTTTGCTTTGCTGGATGTAAATACAATGAATTTTGTTTGAACAAGAAATCATGTGTAACAAATGTTTTTGCAAAACTATGTCCATTTAGCAGTTACTTTAATAAATATGTTCTTCAGCAAGGGGTTTTTGTACAACATCTGGGTTTTTAAACACTTATATAGTGTTTAACCTAACATTTTTAAAAATGAACTTTTTATTTTATTTTTTAAGATTTTATTTATTTGAGAGAGAGAGAGAGAGCAGGAGCGTGGGTGAGGGGCAGAGGGAGAGGGAGAAGCAGACTCCCCACTGAGCAGGGAGCACCATGTGGGGCTTGATCCCAGGGCCCTGAGAACATGACCTGAGCTGGAGGCAGATGCTTAACCGACTGAGCCACCCAGGTGCTCCTGAACTTTTAGAGTAGTTACTGATTTACAGTGAAGTTGTGAAGATAGTATAGAAAGTTCCCGTACACTTCACACCCAGTTCCCCCTGTTATTCACATCTTAAATTAGTGTGGTACATTTGTTACAATCAATGAACCAATATGATACATTATTATTACTAAAGTTCATACTTTATTCAGATTTCCTTAGTTTTTATACAGTGTCCCTTTTCTGTTCCAGGATCTCATATTTCATTCAATCCTCACGTCTTCTTAGGCTCCTCTTGGTTGTAATATTTTGTCCGACTTTCCTTGTTTTTGATGACCTTGACAGTTTTGAAAAGTAGTGATCAGGTATTTTATAGAATGTTCCTCAATGGGGATTTGTCTGATGCCTTTCTCGTAATTATACTGGGGTTATACAGTTTTACCACAGAGGCAAAGTGCCATCTAATTTAACACATCACCCCAAGGGTGTGCACTATCATCAGCATGACCTATAGCTGATGTTCTCTTGGTCACCTGCCTGAGGTAGTGTTTGTCAGGTTTTTCCACTGTGAAATCACTCTTTCTTCTTCCCTTCCCACAGTCCATTCTTTGGAAGGTAGTAACTATGTATAGCCCATGCTTAAGGAGTGTTAGGCTCTACCTCCTAGAAGGCAGCATATCGACATAAATTATTTGGAATTCTTCTTGTCAGGAGATGTGTCTATTCTCCCTCATTTATTTATTCAATAATTTATATCAGTATAAACTCATGGATATTTATTTTATACTTTGGGTTATAATTGAATGCTATTTTATTTTGTTGCTCACATTCTTCCAATTTTGGCTATTGGCTCCTGTGTCAGTTTGATCTACTACATTACTGTGCAGTTTTTTGATCACTCCCTTACTTTCTGGCACTATGAGATACTCCAGGCTTGCCTTGTATATTTCCTGCTCCAGTCCTAGAATCAGCCATTTTTCTCCAGGGAGTCCTGGTTCCTTTTATTGGAGAATGGTTTTAGAACAGAAAGATCTAGGGGCCGGCCATGTTTATTGCTACTTGAGTATCATTGCTTAGAGGCCCTTTCAGCTGCCCCAGCAAGGAAGTATTTATGTACTCTAAGTATTTATGTACTCTAAACCTTGTATATACATGTGACTATATATTGCTTTATTAAGCAATCTGTATATTAAAGTAAATATGAGTTCATACTGATGTCTCCAACTGTAGCACATTACCAAATGGGTCGTTCTAGCCACTTCCCCTTGCCTTTGTAACCTTCCACTCCAATAGTGAGAACATTGACTCCCACTGTATTCCATTTATTTAATTGTTTTATCCTAGTATGTATAGTGGCCTCAGAATTATGAACCTGTAGCCCCATGGGAAGCTTTATCAAGTAATGCACTTTTGTACAGTTCCTCTTGCTTTTAATCTGGCAAACTTCACTTCTTTCCAAATTTAGCACCCCTTTTCCCTTCCTCCTTCGGTGAGGTTTTTCTTTCTTTCTTTTTTTAAGATTTATTTATTTATTTGAGAGAGAGAGAGAGAGAGAACATATGTGCATGTGAGTGGGTGAGGGTGGGGCAGAGGGAGAGGGAGAGGGAGAATCTCAAGCAGATACCCTGCTAAGCAGGGAACCTGATGCAGGGCTCGATCACAGGACTCTGAGATCGTAACCTGAGCCCAAATCAAGAATCAGATGCTTAACTAAGCCACCCAGATGCCCCCAGTGAGGTTTTTCCATGCATTTGTAATACCTTTGGTACATTAGATTCCTTTGTTACAATCTACATTCCATTCTGGGTTCTTAATCTCCTGAATGATTTTTTTTTAATTTGTATACATTGAGTTTCATTTTTGTCCTCTAAAGTTCTGTCAGTTTTGACATGCATATTGTCATGTATCTACCACTACATATTATACTAGTAGTTTCACCACCCTAAAAATCCCCTGTGTTTCACATATTCAACCCTTTCTCCAACCGCAATCAATCTCTGGCAACCACTGAACTATTTACCATCTCTATTTAAATTTAATGTTTAAAAAATATTTAAATTAAAAAAAATTTTTAAGTTGGAACTTTTATAAACTGATTAGACTTTCATAGGTAAGGAGTACTTTTTTGGAAATGAACATCTTTCACCTAAAAGAAGTTATAGCTGTTATTAGTTATCATACCTGATTTGGGGGACTGCCTCTTAAAGTAGCCATAAAATCTTATCATTGTAATAAAGTGACAGTTCACTCATTGTTTCTGTGGACCTCTGAGATGTTTAGAGGAATCAGGACACTTGGGATTGGGGTAATAGGATGAAGGAGGTAAACAGGATGTTTCAACAGAAAATGTACGAAATTTAAATTCATGCAGGGGAAGAGAAGGGCAGTTCTTGTAGCTCAGATAAGGGTGGTTATGAGTCGGTTGTGAGATACTTGATGTAAACTATGATAATCCCTGTGCCACACAGGCTCCATCGAGCACTGGGGTCAGGTTAAACATTGACCTGTAGTTTAGGATCTTCCTTTCAATTCTGTAAACTCCTTCTTGAGTGTCTGCTCTGCTTGCAGTTGCTGTGATGTGTGTTTGAGGCCTGCCTTTTTCTGGTGTTACTGTTTGGCCACATACTTCCCTTTTGGAAAAGATGGACATTCTGCATCATGCAAGGATTTTCTCTAGCTCAGGGTTCAGGACATTCCTCCCTGACTATTAAGGCTTATCCTGGAAAGTCATGGGTCATCTCAGGTCATACTTCACTACCCATTCCCCTCTCTCAACATGACCCCAGTCCCACAGCTGCTGTTGAATATATATCATTGCTTTAAATTTGGGGAAGGGGAGGATGGGGAGATTCTTTGTGCTACAGGATGGAGGCCCACCTGAGCCACCCAGGCATCCCATGTGTTTCTGTTTGATAGATTATCAAAGCATGATGTCAAATAGTGTTAAGAAAATTTCATATGATTTTTGGGATGCCTGGGTGGCTCAGTCGGTTAAGTGTCTGCATTTGGCTCAGGTCATGATCCCAGGGTCCTGGGATGGAGCCCCTCATCAAGCTCCCTGCTCAGCAGGAAGCCCGCTTCTCCCTCTCCCTCTCCCTCTGCCTGATGCTCCCCCTGCTTGTGCTCTCTCTCTGTCAAATAAATAAATAAAATATTTAAAAAAAAAGAAAATTTCATATGATTTTCAAAATGTGCTGGCAAATTTTGTTTGCTGAATATTCATACACCAGCACCAAATAGTACTCACTTAATATTTTGGTTTTTATGGAGTGAAAGAAGATGGAGCTTGGGTCTGTTGCTGGTGGAAAAAAAATGTATGAGTTCCTGAATTATATCTGTCAATTGCCATATAAGATGTAACATGTTACCCCATGATTCTTAAAGTATTATGACTTACCATGCCTCTGGCATCACTATCAATTATAAAAACCCATTCTTTTATAGTCTCCTTTTAGCCTTGAAAGCAACCACAAGCAAGGACTGTTTAAAAAATATCAAAAGGACATTACATTACATCAAAATGACATGTTAAATCTTATGAAGAACATTTGAGTACATTCAAATATAGCAAGAGCTAAATGGATAAATACATTCTTAGAATTGGAAAAATGTCATTTTTTACAATAGTTACCCATGGCATTTATTTTAAGATACATAAAACCAGAGTACCTCTTTTCATGAATTTTATCAATAGACTTCTGTTTTAATGAAGAATTAGATAGAGACCAGAATGCCCATCCTCCACTCCATCCTACCAGCTACCTTCCCAATCATGACCCACCAGTGATGCAGATGCTACCATCACTACTCTGTCCGAGTTATGTGATTCCTGCTTCCTTGGTCATTGTTGGGTATATAGAAAGTCCCTCAAGTTGTCAAACCACACTGTGGATATTGCACATTGGAGAGAGTGCCTGATTATTGCACTACAAACCACACAGTGAATATATTTTTCTAGCTTACACTGGTATACAGCTTTTTAGTTTTGACCAGTTTGTTGTTCAGTTGCTTTTATTTGTCTTGCAGATGTTCTCTTTCATCTGATTATTTGCTCCTTAAATGAAATGCTCAGCCTATTTTGTGATCATCATCTTGCCAGATTGTAGCAATTTTTTTCATTGAACCTTATCATCTTTCAGCCCCAAGCCAGTTTTACATATGGCTTACTGACTCAGTGAATATTCATCTGTGTTAAGTCCCTGGAGCAATTCGCTCATATAACTTTTGCATATTATCAGATAATCTCCCACTTTTTGCCTGAGATTCTTTTTTATCAGAAAATTTCAAACACACAAGGTAGAGAAAATAGTAAATGAAATCCCCAGGTACCCATGATCCAGTCTCAGCAATGATCACCTTACCCCCACTCTTGTTTTAGCTGTGCCTTACTGCCTTCTCTTCTTGTTGATGCTCCTCCCAGATTTATTTTGAATGTATTTCAGTATATATCTTCAAAAGGTATGGGTTTCTGAAAAATTATAGACACAATACTATTAAACACCTTTAAAAATAAATAGTTTTTTAATATTATAAAATACTATTCAAATAGTGTTCAAATTTCTTCAGTTGTGAAGTTTCTTTTAAATTGGTTTGAATCAGAATTTCATGGTCCAGATAGTACATTTGCTTAGTATATCTTTTAAATCTCTTTTATCCTATAGGTACCACATCCTCTTTTGTCTTCCCTGACATTCATTTGTTAAAGAACTTTAATTGCTTTGTAGTGTTTCCTACAGACTAAATTTTACTAATTGTATTCCTGAAGTGTCTTCTAACTTGGTTTTCTGTGTCCTATATTTTCTGTAAACTGGTAGTTAGATTTGGAGGCTTCAGTTTTTTGGCAAGACTACTTCAGAAGATGCGTGTGTGCTTCCCTCAGAAGGCCTTCAGTGAATGCTTGTACCTCCTTTTGTGACGTCAGCAGCCACTAACAATTATTACTCAGCTTCAGCACTTTATTTGGTGTTTGTACAACAGTGATACTCTAATGCTATCAATTTTATGCTTTCATTATTTGAAATACTTCAAGAAGAAAACTTCCCTCATCAACTATTTGGTTGTCCTGTGGTACAATCTGTGTAGCAAAGGCATGCTGAGTGTTGATATTTCCCCCTTTTATTTGCTTCCCAAATAGTGAGTTGGTTCCAAAGATGAACAATGATTTCTTTAGAATATCATTATGAATATGTAGGTATCAACATATCTGATGTGTTTGCATCCATTGGTTATTATTTCTTATTGCTGTTCAAATTTTTACTACTTTGGCCAGTAAGAGCTACTTGAAGTCAGCTCCTGAGTCCATTTGACATAACCTTAGTAGTTTTAGATAGTGTCTTTACTTTCTGATATGACAGAATATTCCAGTCTCATATACTTCCTGCCTCAGACTTGGAATCAGCCATTTTTTTCCAAAGAGCTTTGGTTAATTTTAGCAGAAAATAGTATTTAGAGATCATAGTCTTATGCTGAAGTAGAAGATGATAATTTAGTAAAGACCTACAGGGAATGAAGGAATGAGTTGTGTGGACATTTGGGAGAATAGCATTGTAGGCAGAAGAAACAGCAGGTGCAAAGACTATGAGCCTGGAACAGAGGGAGCAAGAAGAGGGAAGTAGTGGGAAAGAAAGAGAGGTGGTGGGGAGAAGGCCAGGTGGGGCCCCATAGGCTGTCGGAAGGACTTTAGGTTTGCTTGGAGTAGATGGGAGCCACTGGAGGATTTTGAACAGAGGAATGACATAATCTTTTGTTTTAACTGAATCACTATGGGTGCTGGGTTGAGAATGGACTAAACAGGGTTTAAAGCAGAATCTGGGGGACCAGTGAGAAGGCTATCCCAGTAAACCAGGTGAGCGGTAATGTGGCTTGGGCCAGTGTGGGTAGTGGAGGTGATGAGAAGGAATCAGGATCAGGATATATTTTGAAAATGGAACCCACAGAATTTGATAAAGGATTGGACTTGGATTGTGAGAAAAGAGAATTCAATGTGACTCCAAGGTTTATGGCCTGAGCTATAAATGAAATTGTAAAACATCATGATAATATAAGTAGCATTTCTTCTGTGGTTCAGTGCTATGTTTGGGGGGAACGGAGAAAAGAGGGGTCAGGTAAAGCCCCATGAGGACTAGATACTTAAGCGGAGTCACAAAGGATATGTAGGAGGACCAGGTGAACAAGAGGGGAAGAGCATTCTGAGCAGAGGGAGCAACAGAGGAAGTAGGAGGTTAAAGTTTGGAAAAGGGTGTCTTATGTCAGTAAACTTGTGTTGAGTCTAGAGTCCTGAAAGGACTGTGGGTTTGGAATTATGATTTGTTTCTGGAGTACAGGGATCTGGCAGGAAATGAGTCTAGAGAGGCAGAGGGGGACCTTACATATTCCATGATAAGAATTTGAATTTTGCTTTATGGATGATAAGGAGACTAGAACTTTTTAAGCCTGGGAATAACATTATCAGGTATACACTTCAGAAAGATCATCTGGACAGTTCAGTGAAAGAGATTGGAGGTATAAAAAAAATGAACCTTCAGTCATTCTAAGAATTTATCTAAGATCCTTTTATCATTAAAAGAAAGGTAAATAGGGCGCCTGGGTGGCTCAGATGGTTAAGCGTCTGCCTTCAGCTCAGGTCATGATCCCAGGGTCCTGGGATCGAGTCCCGCATCGGGCTCCCTGCTCCTTGGGAGCCTGCTTCTCCCTCTGCCTCTCTCTCTCTCTCTCTGTCTCTCATGAATAAATAAATAAAATCTTAAAAAAAAAAAGAAAGGTAAATATCTTCACCCCTTTCTAAGAACTCCCTCTGTCCTTCTGAGTATAGTTTTTATTTTCTACTTCCTATTACAAATAACAATAACATGAATAATGATAATTTTTTGTTCAGAAATAGGGTTTATTTTTTAAGATACATTTTCAGGCTTTTAAAAGACACACATAAACCCCATCTGTTTTGTAATTATTCTTGGATGAATGAGAGGCAATATTTACTTAACTATATAGTGTTTTCATATGCCAAAGAGGATGTGAACACCAGACAGTATGTTTTAACTGTAGCACAGAATATGTTACCATAAGAAGCATTTGACATTTAGTCAAAAGGTTCTCATAATTTGAGTTGGAGGCTAAAACCACGTTTCTATTACTGTATATTTAACTCGGGTGAACGTCAAATCTTTATAAGGTATTAGTTAATATAATGAGATTTTATCTCTTCTGGTTGAACCAGAAGTTGAGTACTTTACTCTTGATAGCTTCTCTCTCTGTGATGACATTGAAAAAGAAATGAGTCAGTTGTCAAAGTAACCTTTAGTCAACAATATGATGTCAAAATAGAACATGGTAGGAGTTGCTTTGAATTTTATTTTATTTTATTATTTTGAATTTTATTTTTGTTTGAAATAGAGAACTATTGCCACAGTGCCCAGTGTGCGTGCTTGAGATATTCGGTGCTTGTTTGTTTCTCCCACCTAAACCTTCATCTGCTATGATCTTCCACTTGATCATTCTTTTCTCCTTCTAGCTTTGACAGTCTGTTTTCCATTTTGTAGTTCGCAGGGTATTTTGGAGACATGTTGTTTTTCAAATTTTTCTCCAAAACAGTGATGCCAAGACAGTCTTAACCCATTATAAAAATTGTTGATTTTTACAAATATCTCATTATCTTACTTAAAAATAATTTTACCACAATAAGATAAATATCAAACCAATATTCTTTATTAGAGATGGAATCTAAACTGGCTCCGGAGGAGGCATGCATTGGATTTTTCACTTAGCATAATTAATTGTTAGTATAAAGGTAAAATCCTGTAACTATGAACCACATGGTAAGATAAAAGAAGAATTTTGTTGTACAGACTCAGATTTATTAAAACATCAAACATTTATTGAGCACATACTCGTGCCGGTCACTGTGCAAGTTAACAGAGATGCCCAAACTGAAAAGTCGGCCCCTGCCTTTATTAAAGTATCATGGAGAATGTATTTTCTATATAGAGTCAAAAACAATTTGTAATGGTCACTAATTTAATGGTTTATATGAAGGGAAATGTCTTATGGTATAACTGGCTTTAGACACAAATTCTCATGTTAGAGAGGCAATGTAGAAAAAGCATGAAGTAAGAATCAGAAAACCATATCTACACCCCTGCTTTGCTGCTATTTATTCATTAATTCAAACATTTATCAAACATTTATTGAGAGCCTACACAGTGGAGCAACTGTATTAGGTGCCGGGGAGCATGATAGCAAATAAGAGAGACCGTGGTGCTCCCTGCTCATGCTCTCTCTCTCTGTGAACAGGAGCAGATGGCTTAACTTTTCCTCGCCTCTAATCTTGGTTAGGCTAGATGTCTGCAGTCTCTTTCCAAATCTAAAATGCTAAGGTTTGTTATAGCCTCGTGGAGGGAGAATCTGCCCAAGGGGTCTTGAGTACTTACCTTCCTCTGGGAGGATTAGGTCTTGTCCCAGTTTCAAAATAACATCGAATATGCACAGTTTGAAAGTGTTTTGGTCAGCCTCTCATCTGCATTTGGGTCATCTTGGCAAAGCATGGGTGTGGCAATTCATGTTCACAAGACTTCAGAGGTAGGAGGTTAAAGTTTGGGAAAGGTGGATGACTTGCATCAGTACAGCTGGATAGCTGTTCCCAGCGAGCAGCCAGCCTCCTCTGCCTTTCCACCAATAATGCGGCTCCTCCTGCCACAGCGTCCCTCCGTGACAGGACCTGTTGCTCTTCTGGTCTTAAATGAGCCTCCAAAAGGGATTGCTCATCAGAGGACCAGAGGGGATCGACTTTCAGGGGCGGGAAGGACTGTTCTCGAGTCCCACAGTTTTTCCAGTGGGTATCAGGAAACAAGCTTCTTGTTATCTGGTTTCAAAACTGCAATAAATAAATAGCTTTTTTTTTTTTTTTTGCTTGCAGTCAAGATACATAGCTCAAGGAGAAAAATGATTTCTGTAGCAAAGAGAGAGGGAAAGAAACATACTTGAACATACATTGCTTTAAGAATTACAACCGGGCAACTCTTTGTAGTCTTTAGGGAAATGAGCAGCTGGACTCAGCCAATCTCTTCTTTCGAGTCGAGTCGAGTCGAGTCGAGTCGAGTCAATGAAAGAGACATTGGGTTTGAGGTTCCTTCCGAAATGGGGCTGGCTAATTTAGCCCCTCCCCTGAGCCCGAGGGTCTGTTATATCTCGGTTCCTTGAGTACCTCTCTCACTGAGACCGACCACAGCAAGCAGAGGCTGAAAAAATAAAGAGCAAAGACGAAGAAAACAAAAGCTGCCAATTATGGAAGATAGAAAGGGTAAGAGCAAATTGATTTGATCTAAATCCTTAACAACAACAACAACAACAAAAAAGAGGAAAAAAAAAACCAAACAAAAAACCAAACTCCCGAAAAGCCCAGACCAAAAGCAAGTACTTGAAAGAGCAAGAGGGATAAATCCCCAAATGAACTTTCCCATCCTCTCCTTCTGAGAGGAGGCAGAGAAAGAACTTTGGGAAACTTTTTAGGAAGCAAAGCCTGGGGGTTTTAGTCAAGGGTAGCTCTGGAGCGAGCTGGAGGGGTTCATGCATATTCATAATCAATTTGCATTCGGATCTGGTGTTTTAGTGGCAAATGACTTCTTCCGTCCCTTTGCAGTTTAAGAAGTAGCTGCCTCATTTATAGTCCAGAGTCATCTTGCTTCGGGTCTGTACCTCAGTGAGTTTGCTTGAAGATGCTGGGCTCTGTGTGTAGGAGATTTGTTTTGTTTTCGAATTTCCTGCATGCTTTCCTGTTGTGAAATTAGCAAAGGCTTCTCGGCCAGGAGTTAGAGAAGTTAATGTGGCAAGAGGCTGTCACAACAGGACCCCGGAGTATGTCTTGCAAAAGACTGAATGTTTCTTGGATTGTGTGACTGTGTATGGGGGGGTGGGGGGCGGTGGGGGGGGCAGGGAGTGAAGGGTTGGAGGGATGAACAGTTTTATCTTGAAAAAGCAAGGCATATCTGAGTGACTATATTTAGATTTTGTCTAAAAACTGTAAGAGCAGCCTGGTTTTTACAGATGGTGTGCAGTCTCTGTCTTTTACCTCTTTTGGGCATTTTCTGCCACAGCGGAGAGCCAGCTGCTTGCCAGCCCATGGGAGCCAGGAAGAGTCTCCGCAGCAGTGTGGCTGTGTAGGGTTGTAAACCTTCTTCTTCATCATCTCCAATTTCTGATATCCCCACACGTTTTTATCACATAGAATGCAGAGCAATGGGATGAGTAGCCAACAGATTCTTAATAATGATAGCAGTTGTAGCTGTTAATGTTTACTAAGTCTCTACTCTGTGCTGGGAGCTGTTCTAAGCACATTACCCATATTATTTATTCCTCACATCGACTTAAGAGGTGAGTGCTATCATTATCATTCCCATTTTCCAGCTGGTGGAGTTGATATAATGAGCGACTGGCTTGCCTTGGGATCACACGAAGGTGGTTGGGCTCAGGGTCTGTGGGCCTTTCTTTCTGTATGCTCCCACACTGTTACTCCACCTGAAGGCTCTGGCTACTGCTCTGACGCGGTTGATTCTGGGTTTCAAAGCCTTGAAGCTACTGGGGAAATAATACTTACTGAAATCTCAAGTCTGAGAAGGAATTTGTGCTTTGCTGTCGGATCACATTCATTTTTCTCATTTGGTGCTCATGGCCATTTTCTATGGTAGAGCCCAGCTATTGTTATTTTTACCCTTTTACAAAAGGAGGAGATTTTGGCTTGGAGGGGTTCGGTGACAGTAATCATGCAGACCAGAAATCCCCTGCCTCTGGTTTCTCTTCTAACCTGCAGAGTAAGCCCAGTCATCTCTGAACTTCTGTCCCCACCCCCAGCCACTTTCATTTCCCCAAGTGACCTTGCTCCTTTCCGCCCCCTCAGACTGTTGCATGGCACTTGCCTCTGCCCTGAAGGCCTGTCTGGCCTTCTCCTTCCCCTTCAATCTCTAGCCCTGCTGCCTAGGTTTGAATACCAGCTCCACTATCTACTAACTGTGTGCCTCAGTTTCTTCATCTGTAAAATGAAGAGAATAATAATATCTACTTCATAGGGTTATTATAAGGACTAAATGAGGGATTCATGCAAAATTCTAAGAACAGGGTCTGATGCATAGTGTATGTGCTCAATAAATGTTAGCTGTTGCAATTGTTCCTTCAGGCTTTATCTTGGTGGTTAAACCCTGCCTTAAGCTTTCTCCAGCCCTTTAAACCTTAGATTAGCTCCTGTCTTGGATGTTTCTACAACACCTCACTGTTTACTCCTAAACTGTTGCTCATCACACTCATCCGCATTCCTGTCGTCTGAATTGCTTCCCCCTTACCCTGACTATAATTTCTTTATCCACCTTTGGATCGGCACTGTCTAGTGCAACAAATACTTAATAAACTAAGTATTATTATTTTGGTTGATGTTTATCCAAGAATCAGGAGGCTGGTTTAAAAAGGGACCTGTGACTCCTCTGGTTAATTTGGTGCGTGACACCATGAGCAGCAGAGTCTCCCACCGCACCCTGTATGAAGTGGTGCGGGAAGTCCTGCAAGGAACCAGTGCAGGTGCTGGAAGATTTTGGAGACAGTGGAACTGCAGATCAGCTTGAAGAACTATGACTCTTTGAAGGACAAACACTTCTCAGGCACCGTCTGGCTTAAGTCTCCTTCCCGCCCAAGTTCTCCATATGTGATTTGGGGGACTGGCAGCACTGTGATGAGGCCAAGGCTGTGGATGTTCCCCACATGGACATTAAGGTGCTGAAGAAACTCAACAAAAATGAAAAATTAATCAAGAAGCTAGCTAAGAAGTATGATGCCTTTTTGGCTTCAGAATTTCTGATCAAGAAGATCCCACAAATCCTGGGCCTAGGCCTGAATAAGGCTGGTATGTTCTCTTCCTTGCTGACCCACAATGAGAACATGGTGGCCAGAGTGGATGAAGTGAAGTCCACAATCAAATTCCAGAAAAAGAAGGTGCTGTGTCTGGCAGTGGCCATTGGCCTGTGAAGATAACACACGATGAGTTTGTGTACAACATCTACTTGGCTGTCAATTTCCTGGTGTCATTGCTCAAGAAGAATTGGCAGAGCGTCCAGGCTTCATACATCAAGAGCACCATTGGCAATTCCCAGTATCTGTACTAAGGCACAATTTAATAAATCCTAGTGCTACAAAAACAAATAAGAACTAAAAGGAGACTTATGAATATGTAATAGAGTTCCCACTGGTACATACTGTTCTTTTATGCACTCTAGTAAGACATCCCTCTGAGTGAATACACTGAGAAACGAGATGCATCCCTTCTAGGTGGATGAGCTTCAGAGCTGATGTGGCCCCATGCCAGGGTACCCAGTTCAGCCAGTCCAGCTCTCGCAGAACTTCAGCCCCCACTCCCCATTCAGCCAGGGGCCAAACTGGAGATTTCAGATGCCTCCTAGTACAACCTTGCTATCTCTGAACAGAACATCTGGTTCCAGAAATAGTGCCTCCCCAACCCCATTAAATAGCAACCTTATAGTCTGAGACAATGTGCTCTGGTAATAGAAGAAAAACATACACTGCAGAGGTTGGCCCTGGGTAAAATCATAAAGTACATTAAATTTGTTTCCAGCACCCTCCCTTTCCTCTTCCTGGCATACCTTTAAAGCAATTTGACAAATATTATTATGTGTCTACCATTATGTCCCTATGTCAGATGTGTGGGATATAAACAGTTTGTTCACAGTCTAGTGAGGAAGACAGATTTATATACAACCAACTCTAATCGAAACCAGACTCTCTGAAATGCTAATAATAACAGCTAACATTGATTATGTGCCAGGCATTGTCTCATATAATCTTCACAACAAAGCTGTGATATAGGTTTCTGCTTCTTATAGCTGTGGAGAGAATGATTTGGCCAACGTCACAGAGCTAGTATAGGAAGAGGGAGAATTTATTTTATTTATTCAAGTGTCATTAACATATAGTGTTATATTAGTTTCAGGTGTACAATATAATGATTCAACAATTCTATTTTTTTAAAAGATTTTATTTATTCATTTTTAGGGGAGAGGGGCAGGGACAAGCAGACTCTGTGCTAAGTGCGGAGCCTGACATGGGGCTTGATCTCATGACCCTGAGATCGTGACCTGAGCCAAAATCGAGAGTCAGAGGCTTAACAGACTAAGCCACCCAGGTGCCCCAACAATTCAACAGTTCTGTACATTACTTAGTGCTCATCATAAGTATATTCTTAATCCCCTTCACCTATTTCACCCATCCTCCCACCCACCACCCCTGTGGCAATTACCAGTTTGTTCTTTGTATTTAAGAGTCTATTTTTGTCTCTTTTTCTTTCTTTGTTTTATTTCTTAAATTCCACATGAGTGAAATCATACGGTGTTTGTCTTTCTCTGACTGACTTATTTCATAGTGTTATACCCTCTGGATCCATCTATGTTGTTACAAACAGCAAGATCTTATTCTTTATTACTTTTTTATGGTTAAGTAGTATTCCATTGAATATATATACCACCTCTTCTTTATTTATTTTATTTTTTTAAGTAAGCTCCACACCCAGTGCGGGGCTTAAACTCACAACTCTGAGATCAAGAGTTGCATTCTTCACCGACTGAGCCAGCCAGGTGCCCCTACCACCTCTTCTTTATCCATTCATCTGTCAATGGATGCTTGGGTTGCTTCCATATCTTGGCTTCTGTAAAAAATGCTACAATAAATTTAAGGGGGCATATACTTTTTAAATTAGTTTTTTTGTTTTCTTTGGGTAAATATTCAGTAGTGGAATTATTAGGTCATATGGTAGTTTTTTTATTTTTGAGGAAGCTCCATACTGTTTTCTACAGTGGCTGTACCAGCTTGCATTCCCACCAACAGCGCATGAGGATTTCTTTTTCTCTACATCATCCCCAACACTTACTATTTCTTATGTTTTTGGTTTTAGCAAATCTGACAGGTGTGAGGTGGTATCTCATTGTGGTTGTGATTTGCATTTTCCTGATGATGA